CGATTTTTTAGGCGCATTTGGCGCGTTGGCGCCTGTGAGTTTCGAACACTGGTTCGGTTGCAGTTAAGACATTGGAGACTGCGGGCCGATTTATGAAATTGATAGACAAAGCTATAGGCAAAGATGACAAAAGGGATATGGAGGGATCCTATTTGTGAAAGCTAGTGGTTGCAATGGACAAAGGCAGTAGGCAATAGACAAACTAACGGCAACCCTTGAGAAACCCGACAGTTAGTCCATTATTTTCTCCCTTAGTCTATGAGAACCACACATTTCAACCAATAGGATCGCTACATAACCCCTATGTCTTTTTTGTCTATAGCTTTGTCTTGATTTCAATAATCTGCTGGAGTGCTCATGGTCATAAAGTCAAGCAAAGTGGCCCTTGACCCTTTCAGTCATCATGCAAGATCCTTCACATGGGGTCATATGAGAAATCGAAAAAAAAGGTGATTCAATAGACGCCAAATTTTGTGTCAGAACGACATGCGATGTATCGCGTCGATTGGTTCCATTTTTTCAGCTACTCGTCATTTTTCTCGAATTTCGAGATCGCAATTCTGTTGTCAGGAGACTAAAACAAGCGGGAAAGTTCTAATACTGTCGTATTAGAGAAGCGCTCAGGTGTTAGTCAATGTATTAAGTGAAGAAAGGAAGTATAAACTCCATCGACTTGGCTGGGTAATGGAAATAAAACATCAGCTGATAGCAAACAAAGATTACCAAGGAAACCGTAAACGCGTATTTTTGTTTCCCGAAAATGAGCTCACCGTTGAGCTCATCAGGCGCGTTTTTTTAAGGCTTCATTTGAGTTCAACGATCAATTTCGATAAGAATTACTCTACCGCTAAGAAATTTTCTTATAGACAAACGATCGAAACTACCTGCGCATTACGTTAAAAGCATAAAATACAGTTTTCACAGCTTTATTCATTTTAAAAATGGACCCCCCCCCCAAAAAGCCTACACATCGATGAGCTGGTGCGCCATTTAAACGCATTAGCACTAGTATACTAGTACTCAGAGGCAAGTCGAAATCAAAAAGCGCTGCCTATCGGCTGAGCGCTTAAAATTCACTTACCAATTTTGACAAACATTAGAGGAAAAATATCGCATTCGATACTGATATCGAAACCGCACCCGAGCGAAATTAATCGAGATATCGCCCTTGGAAAAGTCGGATTTTGGACGTCATCCACGGCGGTAGTGACACCCATGGTTTCTTCCACCTTGCTTCGATCAGACGGTGTGACGCACGATTGCACTGCGTAATTAACGTGAAACTCGGATGGAAACAAGGTGGATGAAACCAAGGTGTCACTACCACAGTGCGGATGACGTCAAAAACCCGACTTTCCGAAGGGCGACATCTCGGTTAATATTGAACGTAGGAAGATGGTGTTTGGACAGATCTTATTACTTTTGGCTGATCTACAAGGATCAAGCATCAAATCACGATTCTGTCACCAGCGCAACTAACCCATTTAACAGGTGGTAGGCGTGTGACATTAAATGTCTCCACCAGCCTTAACCCTTTATCCTGAAGTGTCGAGCTCTGAGATCACTCAGCCTTCTTTGACTTGCTATAAACTTTATCACGTGGAGCTTTCGTCATGGTACAGCCTCCTCGCCTACCAAGAAGTGTCACCCGGGATTCCCCGTTCATAGACCTGTGATACAATGCTCTTGACTCGCAATGATCGACCGAATTTCGTAAGAGGTATCACATCCTCAACTGCACGTCTCTTTCTAGGCCCATACAGTAGGAAAGGTTTCTGTAATTTGGACGTGTTTTTGTCAAACGGAACTATGTGCATTATGACGCGAGCCCTGTTATGCTTATATTCTTATGAGTTCCAGGGCTCAAGTCTCAATGCACATAGTTCCGTTTGGCAGAAATACGTCAATTTGCTACCGATAAGCAACTTAGAGATGGAGTTGAGGCACCATGTTACAAATAAGCAACTTGGTTTTTCATGCGATGTTCTCAAAGCACGTTTCAGCACCAGTCGTCTGAGGTCAACAAGTTAAATAAATAAAATGAAAAAATAATTTGAACGGAAGGAATGGCTCGTGGAAGAACAAGTAACTAAGAGAATACCAAAAAGGTTTAGATACTGAGAATGTGTATATTAAAAATTAAAAGTGCGCAGAATCACAAAATCAGAATTACACCAAAAGAGCTGAACTATTGTCAGAACTTCAACGGGTTTAGGGCGAAAAGGACTAAAATGCGATACACAGGTTATGGGTCTGAGAGATGGAAAAAGACTTCGAAAAATAGACAAGCCTTGCTGATGTCACAGACAGTGAATCACAAGACAACTCGTGATTGGCTGACAATAATCTATGTAGCCATCAGCTGCAAGTCTGGTAATTAGAATAACGATCGATAAAATACGATGGTTTGAGAGTAACGAAAGAAAAATAAAATTTTGAAGTAAAAGTTACGAAAAGCCATCCTCATAACCTAACAGAGAAATTTCTAAAAATGGTCAAAACATGTGAAAAAGTCCGGAAATCCCTCAGTAGGAGTAGATTGCGACCATGCAATCGAAATTAGATAAAAGGCAAAAAAAAACTCCCATGCGAGTTATTTACATGTCAAAATACTCGCACTTAGCACACTTCACATTTCATACAAATGACGCTGCTTATGCTAATCATTAGCTATTCATACAGTGCCGTATATTTTTGCTATCGTTGATAACTTCTTTAGGTTTCAATTTCCCAATTTCTCGTTGTGTGGACCATTTTGCTTACGTGAAATTTTGGAATTAAACAAAGAAAAAGAAAAAGAGAAAAAAAAATGTAACCGAGATTTTTAGTTTGCCTAGTGCCGTATTTATTGACTCAGTGGCAATGAAATATGACGTGCACATAAATTAGATCATGAAATTTTCATGACAATGCTCCATGTGAAGTCCCCATTCTCTGCATTCAGAACCATCCGTCGTCAGGACGACGGATTCTTGTACTTTGAATTTTCTGAATTTATTTCCCTTTAAATACGGTACGATTTGTGTGAAGAAAGTGCGTCTTACATACTTCCTTTCTTTTTTAGAAAGTAAATATCCTGCGCGGGAAAATGACCCAATCATTTGGTGAAACATTTTAACGTAAAGAGTTCGTCGTTCACATGAGGAAAATTCTCACCTGCAAACCTCACTTTAATTAGAAGCTCTTGGGGTTTGTAAACTGAAAATGTCTAAAAGAGAAGAGAGGAAAAGAGTAGCAGAATTTCGGGTAGATATTACAGTCTTCTTCTCTGAAAAATTATATGCTCGAGTCAATTCTGCAACCTCGGCATCGCGTATGGCACTGCGTTATGTTCCTTCGCCTGGGATACATCGAAACATCAGATCCTGGTCGGGCTGTCTGAGATGAGTTTACGAAAATCCCTCCCGTGATTCACCTGTTCCGAGATCCGAGGCGCTGCGCTGGTATGCGGGAGCGATAAAATACATCTCCTGGTCCATTGTCGAGACAAAGCTTTATTACATCACAGAAAGGGGTGGAAGTTGGGGCAGGGAGGCAGAGAGGGGGTCGGCTTACCCCCAAGACGTCAAGGTCATCATGAGCGAGCGCGCTGGAGCTCGCGGGAACGCGGGTGGAGCGACGCGGCGGCCAGGGCAGGGTACCGCCGCACGCTGGTCCAAATCAGATACACATGGAGACCGCATCTCTGTTCTGCAGTAAGATCGAAGAGATCAGAATGCAGATTTGTAATTTTTAGACGATGGACCAGATGGCGGAAACTTTCAATGAATGAATCCTCTTTCGTAAAATTTTCATGATAATAATACACTGGGAAGAAAAAAAAAAAAGAAAAAAAAAAAAAACATTGGATCTAGCGTGCAGACTCTTGAAAACATCGACAAGAAAAAATACCCTCGATTCAATCAGATTTTTGCTTAATTCAAAAGGAAATCCGCTCAAATTAAGAGGCTTGGTCCTTGATTTAAGCAGAAATCCGATTGAATCAAGAGTATTTTTCTTGTCGATGTTTTGAAAAGTCTGGACTCTAGATCCAATGTGTTTTTTTTTCCAATGTAATAATAATAAAAAAAACCCAAATTCCGTCTGGATTGAAAACTGGGAGGTACGCCCTCTGACTGTTTCCGGTCCAACCCCTGAAGCGCTTCATGCCGTAGGTGTTATACGTTGAGCGTTACTCTTATTCTTTTAGTATTAATGACTAATGTAACCATTGATTATATGGATTACATTTTGCAATAAGGAACCACTAGCCCTAGCTCTTCCATAAAAGCATCTTTCTGCTCAAGGAAACCAATAGCATAAATGTTGTTTCTAAAAGGATGGCTCCTTATTGCAAAATGTAGATTATATATAAAGGTCTTTTTCATTTCACGTTGGGTAAGAGAGCGGTGCATGCCGTGCATTTCATGCCTGCCTATTTACGTTTTGAACACACAACAAAAGAATTTCGAAGTTAGAAATTCTGGTTCAGAAAGCCTTCTGGTTAGAGAAGCAACGATATGGGCGTTACTGTTACATTCGACCAGGTTTTACGGCAATACCGTGCAAGCAAAAAAACGGAGAGGAAGATTCTTATAATTTTTAATTGCCCATCATCAGTAGTGTTTTCTGTCAGTTTGTTAAGAAAGGGGGATATTTTCATTTTTATATGATTTTTACAAAAACAAGCATCTGCTTAAGCAGTAAAACTATAGCACTGTTTTAGTCAAGTTTCAATGGTGGTTGATTGGGAAAAAAAAAGAAGGAGAAGAAGAAAAAAAAAATTACACCTTCATGGTATTCGGAAAAGTAGCCATTTTCCAGTTCATGAGGGGCTGATGCGGGGGGTGGGGGGACGCAGCGTTGCCCCCCCTCCCCCCTCCCGATTCGGCGTCGGTCGGTATAGTTGACTCCTGTGCGGCGGTAGGCCGGCCGGGGCGTATGAGTGAGAGTGGTGGTAGAAGGTTTCACTTTCCTCCGAGATTTGGGTCACTCACCATCATAGCAGAGGCAGACGGCTCTGCTCACCACCGGCCTCAGTCGACCGCTGTCCTCTGTCGATAGATGGCGCTCAACGGAGTCAGAACTCAAGGTCTCGGGGTCTCGCTAATGCCGGTCCACGCTCGAAATCGCCAGATAAGCGGTATCAGTTCACGCATGCGCCCCGATCACAACGGGAAATGATCCAAGCTCCGAATACCAAACCCGCGTCTCGCTTCCGTCTCCGGTCCCGATCCTACTGAACAATATATTCTATTGATAGTATATTCCCGTATATAGTCTATTGCAGTATAGGCTATCGTCTATAACCTCTATTGCATCCCTACGTGTGTATTGTGTGTTATGTATCGGTGCGCGCCAAGTCTCTGGTGCTGTTGATGGGTGGACCTTTTAGACACACCCTCGAAAAATTGCGGCCGTTAAATTTCCACGAACTCTTCCTCATACCGGAATTAAATTGAATTTTCTTTTGTTTGATTTGATCCAAGCACGATCAAAATTCTATGAAGGTGGTTTGGAAAGAGATATACTTCGAAAAATTTCTGGTACATCATAGCGATCGTTGATGCTTCGGATCTTTCATTCAACTTGATGTTTCGAACTTTCGTGTGAGATTGGTTTACATTTGGATTCATTCGACAGAGATCGCTTGCATAAAAAATTGGGTTCCCTGGAACTGAGCATTCGGGGAGAATTTCTCAAAATTGATTTTTTTTTTGGCCGATCGATCGGTAGTGTTTAAAGTGTGCGGTTTTTTTTTTTTAAACCAAGGCTTTGAAATCCCGATCTAATTGATCTACTCGTGAAGTTACAGCAGATGTTGAGAGGCGATTTCTTGTTGAAGTGGTTTTTTGCGGCACGACTGGAGTTTCAATGGATGTGCTTTGAGTTTTAAAGTGATGTAACACTGCTCGGAACCAACCTTAACGGATTTTTCAACCTTGCAGTGACTGTCACCCCTGCAGAATATGCCAAAACCATGGTTTTTATCACAAGGTAAGATATTGGTTAGATGCTACAATTATAATCAAACTGAATTCAGAAATGAGTTATGATGCTTCTTTGCATATCTCTGGTAGGCAATGCGTGATGAAAGGCTTTGATAAAACTCGAGTAGCGTTTAATAATGAAAAGGAAAAAGGTTTGACGTCATCCTTAAAAACCGAGATGCTGACTAATTCACAGTAAAATTATCTTTGAAGGTATTTTAATTTAAACGATCTTGCGATTCTCGACTTTTTCTTTTTTTCTTATTTTTGACCGAGAAAATTACAGTTGGTGAAAAAAAACTCATCACTTGTTCAGTAGTTATTGTAAGATATGGTCTCACAGTGCACTGGAAAAAAAAACACATTCTATCTAGAGTCCAGACTCTTGAAAACACTGACAAGAAAAAATACTCTTGATTCAATCGGATTTTTGCTTGAATCAAATTGAAATCCGCTTAAATTAAGAGGCTTGGTTCTTGATTCAAGCTAGATTCTGATTGAATCAAGAGTACTTTTTCTTGTCGATGTTTTTAAGAGTCTGGACTCTAGATCCAATGTGTTTTTTCCGGTGTGGCGTGGCGTGCTTTGCGATTTATGGATTGTTCTGCCATTTAAACCTATGGTAAAGAATCGATTATTAAGGTTTTCGGTGCGAACATTCTGATTATCGATCCTTTCCGATAGGTTCAAATGGCAGAACAATCGATATATCGCAAATCACACCACGCCAGTGTGGTCTCACCCAGAAGATCGGATTTAGAGCGGAATTCTAACACAAAAAGGACTGTCCGACGCTTGGCTTTCCTGCAGATTTCTAAAGAGTAGAACTTTATTTACTGAAAGAAATCAAGTGCACATGAGTTATGCTGCAGTGCTAAGGAGGAACGCCGTATGAGTCTTCAGAGGTTGTCAAGCTTCCTCCGATGAAAACGGAATTTACTATAGGCAAATTGCGAATATGATTTTCCAAAATTTTTAGACAATTTTGTACGCTAATTTAATCTAAAATGTTTGAAAATTTCAAAGACGAATGTGCATGAATGTTGTCAAAAATATATGTTTTATCAAGGGAAATTGGGCAATTCTCGAATGTTCATACGGTGTTCTTCCTTAGCACGGCAGTATAACAGACTTTTGCGGAGAGCTGTTTATAAGATCAGCCAATGAGCAAAACAATTAGAGGTCCGCAAGCCTTCCTGTTTCCCAAAAATCTAGGTTTTTCTTGAAAATACAACCAGTGTTACACCATAACAAAGCACTATCATAAATGAATTACGGCAAAGTTGTATTATATTATATTGTTACTATTTACTCGGAATCTACGCTTTAACAGATGGGTGACTTAAACGCTGGTGTAGGAAAATCAACTTCCGGGGTCTGCAACTTCCATCTTCTTAGATCTTAATATTTTTCAAACGAAATTTCAATTTCTTCTATTCTTGGGATTTTTATAGACCTCAGAACTCCTGTGAGATATTTAAACCTCAGGATTTTCCATTACCCCCGTGGAAATGTATGGCTATGCCACTATTATAAGTCTATGTAAAATTCTGATGATGGAAAAGTTCACAAAAAAAGAAAAAGCAGACCTTATATTTCATTTTTCCATTTTGGACTCTCTTGTGATGGCAGCAATCGGAAGCAGGCACGTAGCCAGGATTCTGTTTCGAGGGGGGTTCGATTGGGTGTGCGAGGTTCTACCCCCCCCTCCCCCCTACAAGGGGGGACGAACGACTTAAGGGGAAGTTTGGGGCCCGGAAAATTTTTTAAATTTATTTGGACGCATTTGAGGCTTCCGTGACGCAGATTATCCATCAATTTCTGCGGAAAAATTAAGTTCCTTTTTAAACTTTCAGCCTAAAACACATTCAAATTGTTGCACTTGACACGTTTGGAAAATTTTGGAAATTTTAACTCTATTTGAGCGCATTTTGAAAGTTCAAACTTCCTTTTTTCTCGCCTTTCCTTATTTTCTATCTCTTCTTTTCTTCATTCTCTTCCTTCTTTTTTTGCTTCCGGGTTTTGTGTCCCTCTCCACCCCCCCCCCCTGGCTACGTGCCTGATCGGAATTTGGCAAATGTGGTTGCGGGGGAGGCCATGAAAGCACACTGAAAAAAAATTCTCGGCGTTTTTACGAAGGTACGTTGGTACCTTTACCATCTCACTTTTTTTTTACCAATTATTGGTAATTTTACCCAGAAAGACTGGTAAGCTTACCTAAAAACCGGTATATTTACTGTTTTTTCTAGGTAAGAATACCACTTTTATTGGTAATCAATTCCCGGTAACTTTGCCATTTTATCTCAGTAATTCTACCACAGTCCATAAAAAATATTGGCGTTTTTACCAAGGGTCCAGTATAATTACCGAGGAAGTTCAATGATTTTACCGAGATTTCTCAGTAAAATTACCAATTCCATAAACGGTATATACCAAGAAAAAACTGGGATCAAATAGAACCCTGAATTCTTGGTAATTTTACCCTTTTCTTAGTAAATACACCGAATTTTTTTTTTTCAGTGCACGGGGATCTCCACGATTCTGGATGAGCGCAGGTTTCCCCCCAAAATGTTGCAACGTCCCGCGTTTCGCACGGGCGCTAAACCGTCTCGTGCTGTTACAATTAATAGAAAGCGAAGTCGCTTCGGTTGTTTGTCGGTGTTCCGGAGTCCTGGTCGTTCGCACAAAGGGCACTTTTAATCGCCTTCGCCAACGCACCCGCGCGCCGTTTTACTCGGTGCAGAACGGCAAGCCCGGTACTCTACCGTCCCCGTCCTGACATCGCGAGCCGCGCCGCGAATCACGAATTCACGATCTCCAGGCTTCTCTACATGTGCAGGGTAATATTTCCATGGCTCACCTTCAAAACCACGTATCTCACTTGCAACGTTGCAAAATATCCGCGCATGCACGAGCTTTTAATAGGAGAACGCTAAACTATAAACAGTGATGACGGGTCCAATTACATCCCCTGGTAAAAATTGGCAGTAGAATCTGTGTTCCAAAATACCATGGACCTAAAGCCGGCTGTAAGATTTCCAATAGCTTCTGTAGCCGGCTGTACAATTTCTTATAGCCTTTTATAGCCGATGGCGATTAAGCAACAGCCAGACGATAAAGTTTATACTAAACGTTACTAAATACGGATACCAGGACTTAGTTAGTTTTTGGACTACCGCTCTCTTTTTGTGCCGTAGTATCTTGATTTATTTTGCGAGGAAAGCTCCGTACTTTTGAAGGATGCCTGTCATTCTTAATATGTTGGAGCGCCTTCAATTTCTTATGATACTGTGCGATACCTCTGGTGTGAAATAGTTGCTTCAGACAGTGGCACGCTGCGGCGCGGCGGGCGGGCAGAGGGTGCGAAACGCGCATTGGCGCCTACAAACCTAACAGGGATACTTCACGCATTGCGCAATGCGTGAAGTATCCCTGTTAGGTTTGAAGGCGCCAGTGCGTCGCCGCTCTGCTTTGTGTTAGGCTCTAATATTTAATCTCGCGGAGTCAGCGTTTTTCAACTCATGATTTTGAACTGTTTGCACACTCTGTATGGACTATTCTCATTTTAATTGATGAAAAAAAAATATGTTTCAAAGGAAAATATAATGTGTGTTTTGTAAATATTAAGGTAGTTCCGTATCAAACTTAATGATTTCCAAAGCACACGAATTTCTACACAATTTCTTATAGCCTTTTATAGCCAATGACGATAAAGTGTAAAGCGCCCGACTGTATACTTTTTTATAGCTTCGTATAGCCCGGCTATATGATTTGCTCCGCTTTCTACAGCCAGCTATATGATTTTCAATGGCCTTCTTTAGTCGGCTATAAGAACTCCTATGGTATTTTGAGACGCAGCTCCTATCGCCAATTTTTACCAGGGTCCGAAACGCGTTTGCAGTTGTCTTCCTGAATGGTCGTAACTAGTGTTGCACCAAACAGCGTATCTTTTTGAGGAAAAATTGTGCTCGAATGAGCTTTTTCCCTCTGTATTGAGATTTCCAGTTTTCTGTATTTTAACGCACGTTGGCTTAAAAAATTATAACTTACTGTTTATATTGAAATTGATAGACATAGCGACAGACAAAGAAAACATAGGGGGTATGGAGCGATCCTGTTGGTTGAAACGGGTGGTTGTTATGCACTACGGGGGAAAATGCTGGACTGACCAAAGGTCTCTGTTGCCGTATTTACGCGTATTTAGTTTAGACAAATATTTGGTAATTTTCCTAACGTGCATTAGAGTTCAGTACTTTAGTACTTATCTAAAAATCTCAATACAGAGAGGGAAAAAAGCTCATTCAAGCACGATTTTCCTTCGAAGAGATGCTTTTTGGTGCAATACTAGTTTGTACGCATTCAGTCTGTTGTTAGCACGAAACGGCAAGAATGCCGAGAATTTGGTCACGATGTCTCCAACATTTCCGTTCCGAAAGTTTCCGAATGTGGGAGTGTACATACTAGTGAAGTTGTGAAGTTGCCGGTCTTTGGATAAAATGTACACTTTTTTGAGTCGCAATAAGTATATTTCAAAGTTTGAAAAAGGATCTAGTGATTCCATGTGCTGAATAATAGTTATGGTTTTTTTTAAATCCAGCCTAATATTCCGAGAAATATTGTCTATCGGACAAACGGACGACGTCTCTAAATCCCCTGATTGACACATCTACGAATGAACGATTATGATGCCCTTCACTTACACGTATTTCGTCGCTACGCCGATGAAAGGACGTAACTTCGTTTTTGCATGGGTCTTGGGAACGTAGAATCTTACAGACGGTAGAACTCATTTCTAAGTATAGATACGCCCTTAAATCGTCGCTATTCTGACGTAAGGGCTTATCTGCATTTCCACGTGAATCCTGTTCTCCATAAAAATCCATGCTTTCTGAGGCTCATCTGGAACAGTGGCGTGGCGTGCTTTGCGATAAATCGATTGTTATGCCCCTTGAACCTGTGGAAAAGGATCGATAAACAGGGTGTTCGCAGCGTACACCTTAATAATCG